CCCAGTCGCGCTGCCGCCGGCGCCACCACCACGGCCGCCGCCAATGAAACTGCTCCCGCTCCTAGGTGAGTGCCCGGCACCCCGTCCCGGCGCTGCTGGGGGCCGTGGCTTGTAGGTAGCCCGAGTTTCCCAAGGTGGGGCTCACTTGCCAAGCGCACGGCCAGGTCTCCGAGGAGCAGGGGCGCAGCTTCTCAGGATGTTTTTCTCTTTGGCCTTTCAACTCTGGAGTGCGATATTAGGGGCCCAGGGACTGTCATTGTTTTGTTTTGTTTTTTTTCCCTGCTGACAAAATCCCCCAAATCTTCAAAGTCTTAGACTTTGACCTTTCTTCTGAGCCTTCCCCCGCCCAGAAATTTGGGGAAATCCAAACTGTTAGCACTTGAGGGAGTTTCCTGGCGTTCCAAGGGGACTTTGAGCGCAGACGTTGGGTTCATTTAAAATGCCATTTTGATGATGCTGTACAGAAAGAAAATCTATCACATCCTTGAAGGCGAATTAATTGTGTTTTAGATAGTATAGACAGCTCTATAGGAGACTGGGGTTTAGAAGCAAGTGTGTAAGTATCTCTTGTTACTAGTCAGGATAGTTTATCTGAGGTGACTGAAAATATTCAGAAAATGTGAATGGTTCGTAACTGTCCCTTCTCAAGCAGGCTGGTCCTGAGAAGACCGTAGACAATAATTAAAAAAAGAAGGGCCTATGGTCTTCCGTATTTTCCCCTAAAAACCCACCATTTCCAACTTCGTTTTCAATCACTCGGAAATAAGTCTTGTTGCTGAATTTTGTTGATCAGGTGTGTGTGGAGTTGCTTTTCCAGAAGACCAATCTTTAACCAGTATGTTGTTTTATTTTAATTTTCTCTACTGGGAAAAAAAATGTAAAAGAATGTTTTTAATAGAAAGGCAGATCATAAGAACATAGAAAATTTAAATTTAAAAAGATTTAAAAAGATCATTAGAACATAGAAAAAACAGCAATTGCATTTGTCCTTCTGGATGTTTTGTGTTGCTCTTCATCTTAAAAGAACACAAATTTGAATTTAAAAAGTCTCAATTTACTGTGATTTCAGCACAGAATCATTCCCAGAGGGGGGGAGGGGAATGCTTTGCAGTCAGCAGTTACCTTTGAAAGGATCTCACCTGGTGAAGGTGATCCTACGGCCCAATGACCTAAGAATGCTGTATTCTTTATAAAGGTGGTGGTTGAATTTTAGCTTTGTTGAAATTTCCTCGGTAAACACTGAGATAGGAAAAAATGCCTTCATCTTTTTTACTTACTTGCTCTTCTGCTGTTTTTAGCTAAATGTTCCCTTGGAAATCCTTATCATCTAAAGAGAGAGAAAGAAGACTTATTTGTATTATTTTTATTCTAACTCAACAATGGGAGGAAACTTTTCTTTTTCTTTCTGAAAAGGTTTTTATTTTTCTGTTTTCTTTAGTGGGTTTTTCCACTGTGCTGAATTGTGCTTATACTCAAAATTGCACCAGGACTTGTCTTCCAAATGCAAAATGTGAAATACGGAATGGAGTTGAAGCCTGTTATTGCAACATCGGATTTTCAGGAAATGGCGTCACAATTTGTGAAGGTAAACAATCATTATTAACTCTTTTGGATTTTATTGTAAGGTTAAATTTTGATGTGACTGCTTTTCCCCTGTCCAGAAATTAAAGCTTAATTAACTAAACAATAAGTTTGAATTTCCCTTGTCAAAATTTATACTTGATTATATATTTTTGATAATTCCATTATGTCTTTTTAAAATGAATATTAAAGACTCCCCTTGAACTTAAGCTGGAAAACTAAGTTGCAAAGAGCAGAGTCACAAAGAACAGAGTTCATGACTTCCAGGCTCTATTGCTAAATGTGGTGCTCAGATACTCCATTTAGTTCTCGATTACCTAAATTTGAGGATAATATTAAGAGAGTTCAGGTTTTCCGCAGCTACCCTGGGTGATGGAGAGAGAAAAAGAGGAAGTGAGGGACGGAGAAGAATTTTGAAAATGCATTCATTGTGGAAAAGTAGACCTCATTTTAAAAATTTTAGACTAGAGCCCAGAGCAAGAATACTAGGAAGGGTCCTTCTAGAATGCAATTTAGCCATTTGACTTGATAAGCATAATACCAGTTGATAATCAAATTTAAGTGATTTCTTGTCTATGATCTTCACCACCACCACCACCATCACCATCCCTTCTCTTTCTTCAAGAGTCACTTATTCTTTCTTAATTCACTTTATTCATATTTAGTAGAATCTAGTTTTGGCTGAGTCAATAGAACAACATTCTATGTAGAAGAGAGAAAGAAAAAAAAGTTTCAAACCATATAAATAAGTTTTAAAATATAAATGTCAAGTTCAAATTAGAACCATGTGGTTTTATACTATTTATATTTAAGATAATATGGACTTTTTCAATTAAGCCAGGATATTGCATACTGTTAATATGCATGTGTTTGCTTATAGCATAAACAAGTTTTATCTTGTAAATCAGTTTGATAAGCTCCTTAAAAAGATTAAATATGCAGTATATTGTAAGAACAAACCTCATTATTATAATTAGTGTAAAGTTTTACAAATGTAGAACAAAGCTACAGTAGCTTAATGTTGCATTAGATCAGGCCTTTTTCCTTGTAATATACTCATCTACAAGCATCACAAAATTCTTTTCATAAACAATCTTGGATTTTTATTGTATATTTAATTGAATGGCATTATGGAAAGTTGATAGTTGAGTGATCTTCAAAATACTGCATCCAACATATTAGTGTGCTTTTCTGCTAATCATTACAAGTTGAACCAAGGCACTTCATAAGTAGTGTTGTCTTTTTGTTAATTAGATATTTTTCAACTATTGTGATTACTATCATTAACATCAACAATTTTTCACAATTTGAAGCAGCAGCAGTCAACCAGCTGTTATGTATTTGATGATTTCTTTAAAAACATCTTTTCCTTGCTGCCTAAGTTAATAGCCAGCTGATGGACAGAAAATATTTGCCACTGGAAAAAAATACTTCAAGACCTTAGCCTGCAATTTCTTCTTGCACAAAACACAATTCATAATAAGAATAGTTTTTCTTTTCAAGTTCTTTTTAACTTAAATCACCCCCCCTTTGTTTAAACTTAAATTCTCTTTTTTTAGCTTAAATCCCATTCTTATTTAAAGAAAGGTATATATTCACTTGTTTTAATATTACTAACTGAGGTTTATGACAGCCTCTTAGAACTATTCAAACTTTTTTTTATCTTTTTCACTTTTTATTAATTCACTGTCAGATTTTTATTTTTATTTTTAGTAAGTATATTTAATGTGCTTTTAGAATTTAATTAAACTGAAAATATTACCAACAATTGTTGGCTTCTTTCATCTCTATGTTTCCTGTGTTTCCTGACTTTCTTTAAGACTGGTATTAGGTAAATAAGAAATCACAGAACAGGAGTTTTGTTTCAGAAGATGTCTGACAGGGGTTCTCAACCTTCCTAATGCCGTGACCCTTTAATACAGTTCCTCATGTTGTGATGGCCCTCAACCATAAAATTATTTTCGTTGCTACTTCATAACTGTAATTTTGCTACTGTTATGAATCTTAATGTAAATATCTGATATGCTATATGTGTTTTCCGATGGTCGCGACCCACAGGTTGAGAACCGTAAGGTGCTCCAAGTATTTTGTGCTGGATATGCATCACAGGGTATATTAATTGAGCGATCAGTGGGAATTGTCAGGATATCAAGGGTATGAAATTCTGTTAACAAAGAAGAGTCATTGGTAGGTAATAAGTAGCTAAGTCTCATGACCAATTGTTGTGTATTAAGATGACCCTGTTGGTAGAGTAAAAATAAATTAGCAAGGGTCAGTCAATCCACAAAAGGCTATTTTATCCAACCTATCAAAACAATAGGACTTTATATTTGTACAGTGCATTATCTTTTATGTCACGTGTACCAATATACCTCTAATTTTTATATAAACTTTCGAAATAAAAAGTACAGATGCTATCTTTTACGTACAAATACCCTGATGACTGGGTATAACTGGTTCTGTTGAGCTCCATGTTACAGTCTTTTGCATGTGAGAGAAGCAGGACTCTGAAATCTTAAGTGAGTTCTGCAGTATTTGAGGCTAAAGTGATAAAGCTAAGACTCAAACACCGGGAACTCAACCTTTTCTAGATTACCAAAAGTATCAAAATGTTACTAGTCACCCGGCATAATTATGTAGTACAAGTTTTTAAACCAAATTGATTTTAAAAAGCATCATTTTAATAGGAATTTATTTATTATTTCAACAACTTATAGAGGTATGGGTGGGAATTTATTTGTACACTTTTCTTTATGGTGCTGGGTGAAGATAAGACACAAGGTGAAGAAGTTTGTGTAAAAATTGTGGGGTATATTTAAAGACTTTTGAAATGGATCTCTCCTACCCATCCCAGGTAATTAGTTGGAAGGCTTGAAAGAATGTTTATGTATATCTAAAACATGAAATTGCTGGAATTGGAATAAACTGCTGGAGAAGTAAGAAGCTGGTACAAGGGGGTGCTGTACTGCACACGTTTGGGTGGAAGAGACAGTCTCCCTATTCTCATATAAACTTATTAAGTGGGGCTACATTCTTGGACATTTCATGGAATCTGAATGGGGTTGGGGGAAAATGTCCTAGCTTAGCACAGGAAGGATCAAGAAAGATGGCATTGCCACCTTTTATGTATGTATAGAAATCTTACATGGCTTGGGACATGCCTATTATAAGCAACATCACAAGTATTTCACAGAAAATAATGAACTCTCGATGCCTACACCCAGGGAGACATACTCTACATTTAAAAACAGTTTTTCATTATTATCTGACTAGTAGCCCAGTGCACAAAATTTGTGCACATTAACAGGGAATTAATTGCCCTAACCGGTTTGGCTCAGTGGATAGAGCGTCAGCCTGCAGACTCAGGGGTCCCAGGATCGATTCCGGTCAGGGGCATGTACCTTGGTTGCAGGCACATCCCCAGTAGGGGGTGTGCAGGAGGCAGCTGA